AAATTATGAAAGTATTTTCATGGTTAATTTGGCAACACCGATCATGTTTTGAAAATCTACGTGATTTTTTTATATAATGGTTGACCAAGTTTCAGACGTTTTTCTTTTAAAAAAAAGTTTCAGAAGTTTAACTAGCTATAATCCTAAAAGTGATCTACATTTCTATTGGAAGCGAAGCGAGTAGTTAACTCTTCACTTTTTGGCAATTTTGTCTTAAAAACTCCTTTCTGGCTCTTCAAATATATTGGCAAAAGTCATCCACTTTTGCTTCTGGACGAAAGGATATTCGCTGCTATAGATGGTTCTGCGAATGGTCGCCGTTGCTGCAACAACTTCACTTTTAGTCGCTTTCTAACCGCTAGTAGATGCTCATCGGCGAATACAGGGTCAAAAAGGTCTCCTTAAGTTACCATCAGCCGAAACGATAGTATACGATTGTAAATTATTAGTGCTGGCTGGTTTGGTGTGAAAGAAAAATACTGTTCTGGCTGAAAATTTACGATCGTTTACGACCAAGCGAACAGACTACATATTAATTGTTTCTTAATTATACAGCGCATTTTCTGGTTAAACAAACAACCGTAAACCAATTGCTGTATTTTAAAAACCGCAAACCAATTGACCTTCACATGTGCCTACATGTACAGGAACAAAATAGCCAGATTCCAAAGTTTGACATGTGCTCGAGTCCACGTCAGCGATAGATCAGATCTACAGAACGAACAAAGAAACTTCATATGCTGTCATGCTCAACGAGACATGATACGACCACTCCTTGTCTGCGAAGAAAGTCGACGAGAAGCTTCCTCCCCATCCCTTGTGGTCTAGCCACGGCTTGTGCAATTCCAAGTCTATGACGCAATTCAACACCAACAACTGCAATCACACCCGGGCATTGGTCACAGATATATGTAGATGACTTGACGTTCAATTCAGAAAAAATGATATCACCTTCATTTTAGAAAAAAAAAATCGATACAAGACATTATCTTTAAAAAAATTCCAGAGTTGTTTGCAAAGCTCAAACATCCATAGTTGTTTACACAACATATCCAAAACAAATCACCAGGCTATGCCGAGGCTGCAAATTTCCATAGTCCAGGAATAGGCAGTCAGTTCATTCCCACCTTCTCTATATAGCCTCACAGCTCACTTGGCACAATTCACAAAGGAACGATCAAGTTATTTTGCCCTTCTAGAAGAATAGTAAACAGAAATATAATATATTAGATGTAGATGTAGCTTCTGTTTCCAAGGTTCCTATCCAAAAGTCAATGCCTAACCAGCCCAAGTTTCAACATGCAAGCAACAGAGAAATATAATATAAGATATAAGACTTCAGTTTCAAAGTTATTAGCGTATATGGCGCAACAATTCAGGCAGATTTGATGTTAATAATATCAAATTCATCCAAAGTGGCAAACTTTTCATTAACCCCAACACCAGTAACAGCGCTAGCACCTTTTGGTGTGAAAGGCACCATATCTGAACACCCCAGAAACTCAACACTGATCAAAACATGTTATTACTGCTAGATTCAGATTGAAGCACAATGTGATTCAAGTGCGATATAGAATTTATGAAGCATCTGTTGTACAATAACTTTTACAACTTGAATAAATGAGAAGAAATCAGGGTAATTTGAACAGAGCTAACAAAAGCAAGGAGCTAACAAGTCTTTACAATGACATAAAACCTGAGAAAAGGAGATGTTGAAGACTGATATGTATCTGAAGAGCATTGTTAGCATAGGCAGCACACATAATATGCATAAAAGTAATTCCAGCGGATAGAGGAGTCAAGACTTACTTAAGTATGCAGTATCATCTAAATATGGTAGATACATAACATAGGTGATCAGTTATATGGTCAGATTTCACACGAGGAACATAAACATGACAACTGTATGCAGTATCATCTAAATATGGTAGATAGATAACATAGGGATCAGTTGTATGGTCAGATTTCACATGAGGAACATAAACATGACAATGGCCAACCTCGTACAGGAAGTATGGTTCATTGACAAAGGGAGGTGCCAACTGCCCTAACTAGTAACTAATGTATCCGATTCCAGATGAAGTCATTTTAGGATTCAATCAGGTAAAACTTTTTTTAATTTGGACCATCAGTATATTAAAAGTGGTATATATTGACAACATATGGTTGATGTTATTCATCATGTAAAATATTTTTCATAAAATATAATTTTCACTATTTGAGATTTGTACCGCTCTTTGCGGGGTCTGGAGAAGGGTGTCAGTGGCAAGCCTTACCCTCACCTGTGCAATGCGAGGAGACCGCGACTCGAACCCAGGACCTTCCGGTCACAGGCGGTAAGACTCTACCGCTTGCACCAGGCCCGCCCTTCGTGAGATTGCCTTAATTATAGAAATTAATAAAAGAGTGGGAGCATTTACATGACATGTTTTGAGGTAACGCCACAGACTGTTTCCCATAAGAGTGACAAGTTTTTTTTTCTATATAAAGGTACAAACTCACTGATTGGAACACTTGCCTAAAGAGACGGCAAAGAAAAGAGTGTCTAATGAGCAAATCAAAATAATATAAGTGAATCTGCTAATAAAGATAGCATGCAAGATGACATGTATTGTGTATGTTGAATGGGTGAGCATTATAGTCAATGTCCTTGTTAGCATATTATCTGGGGGGTGTATATTATGTGTTGTTCAAAAAGTTTGGGCACAAAAGAATTCATTAAAGTTATGTTTTGCCAAATACTATTATCCACCTTATGAAGTATCCAATATGGTTTAGTGGTATAACAACTTAAAGTTAATGATGGTTTTCTCCTTTATATGTTTTGGTTGTACAGAAAGTGATACATGTAAGGAATATTATTGACAAAATAACTTGATCCCGCCATGATCCTTTCATTTCAATTCAATCAAAGATGGCTTGAATATTTCATCTTATGTAAGCTCTTAAAGTATATTTTCAATCTTCAAGTCATTTCGCTATGAGGGCTATTTCGGGCATTAGTGGCGCTAAATGCTTTAGCGGTGACGTAATTTAGCGGCGCTAAATGTGCAGCCGGACGACCTACCAAGAAATGAGACCTAGCAAAATTTCCACTGGCCCAAATCTAGCCTATCTACCATGGTGTATAAGCATGTTCACAAAATCTAGCATCTCTCGTTCTGAACCTTTTGCGGTGGCGCGGTGTTGGTGTGCGTTGAGGCAACTATGGCTGTGAACTACGAACGGCTGAGAGTAATTGCAAGAGCCGGCTGCATGAGGTGACTGCGGAGGTCGCGGCTGCAGCCTTCCCCTTCGCCGATGTGCAGCAACTACACTGCCAAACGGAAGTACAAGTACTCCAGCACTGGCATGAAGGGAGAATGTGACAGCCAGCAATGGAGACATGCAAGTTAGCGAACACGAAGCAATAATATGCATGTTTTTTGAGAAAACGCTAAATGCCTTAGCGCCACTATAGCTTGCTTAGCATATTTCCGAAGGCTCCGCTAAATGTCTTAGCCCGCTATTTGCAACACTAATGAGAAGAAATGATTCAAATTGATCTACCACTGTCGTTACCGGGGATGATGATGGTGTAGTGTGGTAGTATGATTCCTTAGGGTCTCTTTTTTAAAAGAAAATTCCTTAGGGTTTTGCTCTTCTCAGTCCTTATATAAGATCATCAATTTCAGGGGTGTGACTCCAGTTTACACACCTGCGATTTGTAGAATGAAATTGCTATCTGGAGCCCATATTTTTCATTAGCTCTTGTCTAGGAATAAGCTTCTTACAAGAAACAATCTAGCTAAAAGAAAGGAGAGTTGAAGATGATACCGGTTTGTTTTGTTTTGAAATTGAGCCATCTCACACTGGTTCTTTATCTGTGCTATTGCTAGATAGGTCTGGATGTGTGCGGCTGAGCTCACATCAAGTCTAGTGATGGTAGATATATGTTGCTAGCTAAACATTGGCTCCGTGAAAAGAAGGATCTGATCTTTAATATGTTAACAGCATTGACTCTTTGGGGGTTCTGGAAACTAAGAAACTATCTATGTTTTCAGAATGGAGTTTGTCTAGGTTTACAAAAGCTCTAGCGCTCCAGCAGGGCCATGTTTAAGAACTGGGGATGGCTGCTTTGCTCGGTGAAGTACTTCGAACTGCACAAGCTCTGGAAGGCCAAACTGGACGCCTTGGTCACCAGGCTGGAACAAATTCTCTCGAGGAATGGTGCCTGCCAACCTCAACAACGGCGAAGTTGGTGGACTGAATGCTCCAAGCTGCGCTATGCCTTGCTCTTTGTGGGTTGATGTAGTTCTGGAAGCTGCTGCTCCGGCTTCTGCTGAACCTTTTGCCTGATGTCTTAGGTGATTTGTGAACTCTGAGTGCTTCTTGACTACGATGCATGGATACTTGTGAACACTTGCGTATCAGATACCAATACTGTCGAACACTGATACTCCTTAGATACTTGTAGTTGTAGGACAAGTACTGGATATTTAATTATTTTAAAACAAATAAAATAATCCTGATGTCTTGGATGCTGTAACACTGAACCATTATGTCCTGATTCAATGCAACGAACACAGGCGTTGATCCATTTTTTTTAAAAAATAGGTCCCAACAACTTCTACGTGTCTTTCACATGGGACAAAATGCGGCTTTATTCTTGTTTTCACTCTTAGAAAGAGTAGTGTCCTTCAGACACAGATCTTTCCAAATTTCATTCGTTCTTGCTTCCCCTCCTGATTATTTTAAGAGTGGTGCAATTTAATTTTGATTTAATGATGTGTAAATACCCACATTTATAAATGGATCATTCCTAAAACAAATTAGTTGTAAGCTAATTTGGTTTAGTACGCCCCTCAGCTGAACTGATCACATACACCACATACATAACCTAAAGTCAGAAAGGAAGGAAAACCAAAGGTGCAACGCTACATACAAAATCATTGCTATTACAACAAATAGGGTGAAAAAGAAGAAATGCTCACATTGGGGGGTGTCAGTTCATCCCGAAATCAATAATTTCTTCTCTTCTGCCTGGACATAGCCCTCTTCTTCCTCGCCTCCTCTTTCTGCCTCTCAGCCTCCTCCTTCTCAAACTTCTCCTTTTCCCTCTTCTGCAAGAAGTCCTGCACCGACAGGTAGATCACCTGCATTGCAAAAAGAATCGTGAGCCAGCCAAAAAACACGGCCTGGCGAGATCAGCATCGACCATCCAACGCCACAACGGCTCGCTAAGTCGCAACACACACGCACCCCGAGGGTGAGGAGGGAGAGGCCGACGAACGCAACCGTGAGCAGCACGGACACCACCGTGGCCGTGATGCTGTCGTCGTCGGCGGCCACCCTCATCGCGGCCTCCGCCTCTTCGAGGGGTAACTCCGCTTCGCCGGCCACGGCCGCAGCAGCAGCAGCCGGGCGTCCGCGCCGCAGCCCATACCTCGCGAGGAGCAGGGGACTCGAAGCCCTTCTCCCTCCTCCCTCCAACACATTACTTGCAGTAGTAGCACGCCTCAATGGAAGAGGCCTCAGCGGCGCGAGGGGCAGAACAGAGACCGAGCTCACTGCTGCCATTATCCCCTCCCCGGCGCTCGCCGAAGCAAATGAACGGTCGAAACGAACGGCCGGAAGACAGAGGGAAAGAAAGGCCCTGGGCCGTATCATCAGAAAAATATAAAGCCAAACCCGGTGGCCAGTGCAGAACAATATGGGCCGTTCCGGCCCACAGAGCTGCCGCTCGGGGGGCAGAACAGCCGAGTAATTTCCAGAGAGATCCGTCCCTATCCAATCTTCCTACCACCGCGAACGAACGCACACGAGGGAGAGTCATCAAACTCATCCTCCCTGTATCCAGAAGCAGAAATATCTCGCGTCGCCGCGAACGAACGCACACGAGGGAGAGGAACGCACGAACACACACACCCATCACCGGCTTTGGGAGCCGCAGAGAGGAACCGCACGGGACGTGCGGTGGTTTGGTTTCGCCGGCCGGAAGCGCCGTCGGATCAGGAAGGATAGAGGGAGGAGGACAGATGGCGGGCGATCGGCTGAGCTGGGCGGGGTTGCTCAAATGGAGCCTCTCCTACGTCGACGGGGCGGGGCCGTCTCGCGCCGTCAGGTAAGGGGATGTTGGATTGCTGGTGGGAACGAAGGCGGAGTGTCTGTTTGTTTTTTTAGAGGTGGCTGAAGCGCGTGTTGGTTTTCGGTGGTGAGCGGCGGTGGCTGGCGGAGGCGGTGGAGCGGCACATGATGGTGGACGTGGTGAGCCGGATGAGGGAGATTGCGCTGCTCATGAGCACCCCGCCCGCCGTCCTGGAGGCGCAGGGCATCACCCACGACGACATCGAAGGTATGGGGTCAATTACATGCATGATTGCCAGATGCATTTCCCACATCTCCTGCTTAAATTCGCTGAGCACGCATGCTAGTGTTGGCTTTTACGGTTAGAGCTTTCAGTTTCAGCGTTGAATTTTAGTTTAGATGACGAATTTATGTTAATGAACAACCGCGTTTGTATTCCAACGGTAAGGATAATTGCCTTCCAAGCAATAGACCCTGGTTCGACTCCTGGCAACCAAAAGGGGCGATGGATGTGGAATTGGGCAGGCAATTTTTCTTTAGAAAGTTTACACTTCACATCAAGGAATTGGGCAGGCATTCTCTTTATATAAAGTTTCCACTTCACATCAAGGAACATAGGGACATTTCTCGCTTTATGAAACTTCGAATCATAAAATTGGAGCTCAGTAAGCTCACAGTAACGATTAGGCAAATGATCCTCCCTTTCCAAAAAAGAAAAGAAAAGAAAGGAGTTTTTCCTATATGTATTTCTGTTTTTTTTTATAGCTTTGAATATTCTGTATACTGTGGCAGTTAGATAGCAAGTACCACTGCTATTCCCTGTTTCACCCTTTTCTAGGTTGGTGGAGATATATTTCTATGCAGCTTTCTGTTGTACTTGTGTTTGCCTTACTTGATTGTTTGAAGAACTGACATCTATCTAATGGTTATAGGCATAGGCATGTTTTGGGCCCTGTTTGAGTGTAACAATCTGCAAGTTAAGGGGAACCAGATTGTTAATTGTTACAGTCTAGCTATAATCTAGAATGTGTTTGTTTCAACTTGCAGATTGTAACAGCCTTCAAGCTGACAATCTGGGCCTTAATTGCATTTAGTTTCAATTGCCATTTCTCATACCTGGTCGATACTAATCTCATGCTTCTGAAAATTCCAGATTTCCTGAGTGAGCTGCAGGTGCATGTTGAGTCTATCGACATGGCAAATGGTATGTCCCAGGTTCATGTTTAATTTTTCGCATGTCTTGTTATCATTTCATGTATATTTCACAAAATCTCATGTTTCATATCCCAATTTGCAATCACCTTCTAGTTTTATGGTTCTAATCTTTGTATAACCCCACCCTTACCTCAATATGGCTCCATTTGTGGTATACAATGCAACATGGTGCCACCTTTGTGGGATTATTGAGGGGCCTTGATGTGGATGGCTCATTGGGGCCATACTTTTGCCCAAATACAAATCATATGTCAAAAGTCCTCCGAGCTATCTGATATGTGTAATGTGTGTGTGTCCATTAGAATTCTCCTAGTGTCAGTTCGTAATTGCTGCTTGCGTTAAGGTTTATGAACATATTTCATTCATACATACATGAACTCAAATTATTTACTTTTAAGTGAAATCTACAATTCCATATGTAGGAGACAATGGTAGCACTTGGAGGCATGCATTCTTGATGTCAAACTGAATACATTCACATCATTGGATGATTTGAAATGGCATTCGTAGTTTCTATTGAGGTGGCTAAACAAATGGATGGAGGCAACTATAGTGGTTTTTGGCAATAGAACATTGCTATTCAGGTGAATTCTCAGCTTCCCCTTTCAATATGCTACCGTGCAACTTTTCAAGGGGAGCTGATCCATTAGAATAAAAATAGTTGACTGAATGATGAATGAATTGTTTACAATGAAGCAATAATAGCCATAAGTCTAATTTAAAATGTTGCCAAAGGGCCTCTAGTCCAACAAGTTAGAGCGTCCCGGCGGCACTCCGCAGGTCCTGGGTTCGACTCCCCGTGGGAGCGAATTTCAGGCTAGGGTTAAAAAAATCCCCTCATCTGTCCCACGCCAAAGCACAGGTCTAAGGACCGGCCCGTTCTCACAGGGCGACGGTGTCGCTGTGTAAGGGTGGGGCAGGGGTTCGGGGGTTTTCTGGGCCTGCGTAAGGTCTTCTTCTTTAATGCAATGCCTGGGGGTGGTCATACCCTCGCAGGTCCAGTTTTTTTTTAATTGAAAATGTTTTTTATGTGAAACTATCCTTTTCTTATACTCACAGCTTGTTATTTGGAGGATTTATTTTGTTATTTCTATGTCGTGCTCTAGATTTGCATTCTGTTGGTGGGTTGGTAAGTACCTCAGAAATTCTAATGCTCGTATCCGAGCGAAAGCAGCTGATGTGATAACAACAGTATTCTGAACAATCCGACCAGCCAGCAGTTGGTCATGGAAGCTAGTGGTTTTGAACCTCTCTTATCCAATTTCAGATCAGATCCTGACCTTACTGCTCGGATAAAAGCTCTTGGTGCACTATCTTGTAAGTATTTTGTCCACATTTTTAGATGGCCACAGTATATATTATATCCTATAAATTGACATGTCTAATGATGTCCTCATTAAATATTCAGCTCTGATACGGAACAACAAACCAGGAGTTTCTGCATTTCGTTTAGCCAACGGATATACAGGACTAAGAGATGCATTGAATTCAGAAAGTGCAAGGTTTCAGAGGTAACACAATTGATTCAAAATTCTGAGGTGACGTTTTTTTGGCAAATGCCTTGCCAACACGTTATTTGACTGAGATGTTTTTGGTCTTTTCTGTTTTTTTGTATCAGGAAAGCATTGAGTCTGACTCACTATCTGCTCAGCGAAAGCCATTCAGATTGTTCAGTATTTGCACAGTTAGGTTTCCCCCACCTTATGATGCGTTTGGCATCCAGCGATGACTCTGGTGTTCGAGAGGCAGCATTAGGAGGTTTGCTTGAGCTTGCAAGGGACACAACACTTGGAAATAGGAGTCTACTAGCAGAACATGACAGTTTACGAGGGCTTCTCCGTGGACGTATGGAAAGCATAAGGACGATGACTCCTGAAGATTTGGATGCTGCACGAGAAGAGAGGCAGCTTGTTGACTCACTGTGGATCACTTGCTACCATGAACCCTCCATGCTCCGCAATGAAGGGCTCCTTGTTCTGCCTGGGGAGGAATCTTTCGAGCAACCTCCTGATGTGGCTGGTAGATTCTTCGAGCCAATCCGCCGAGCTGCTGCTAGGAGGGCCCCCCCTGTTGAGAGATCAGACCCGGGGGTTGGAACTGGGGGAGGAATGGTTTTGCTTTTAGGTCCAGCACCAGATGGTAGATCAAACTCCCCCAATCACTGATGTTTCGAGGCGGTGAGACGTGCGTGAGGAATGTTGAAATGAAGCAGACCGTGCTGCTGCCTTGCAGGCCAAAGCTAGAATTGGTTTTTTTTTTTCTGGATGGAGGGAGTAAGTTGCTTCGAGTATTACCTAATGTAATTAGGATTTAGGGACCTAGTATCCAGCCTCAAATAAGTAAATACTATGTTGCTGTTTATGCTTGTACTAGCATATGCCCGTGCGTTGCTACGGAGCTTCAAAATTTTCAACACAATAAAAATATAGAAAAAATAAAGAGTCCAAACAAGTAAATTTTAACTCAACTTTACAACATACTATTCCAAGCCACATTCAAATAAATTATCTATTTATTGGAGATTCATCAAAATTAGACTTGATGATTAACATATAAATGCAGCGGTGTGTTGGTAGACTGTTGGATGGAGCCGCCACCAGCAGATAATATTCTTCAGGATTCAAGGACTCGACCATAAAAAAGGGTTTTTTTTATTCGTACCATTAAAATTTTTGAACTTTAGAAAAACACCGTTACTGTTCGTCTATTTTGAAGTATACCATTACAGTTTTTCGTTTCCCACGAGAATGCCATAGAATACACAGGGAGACTGTTGTAGGCGTATACAATTGCAGCCCCTCTCCCTCTCACTGACGCGGGGGGCCCACTTGTGATCTTATTCCTCTTCTCGTTTTCCCTTGCTGAGCCACATCCACCGCCGTCCATGGCGAGCAGCAGCACGTGGCCCAGCAGCAGCAACACACCGGCTGGGAGCTCCATGCCGGCTGGGAATCACGAGCTTGCCATCGACGGGGCCAAGGGCAGCAGCAGCAGCACGCCGAAGCAGCAGCAGCTCGCCATTGACGGGGCCGCGAGGTCCGCGCCGGCCACGTGCTCCGCCGGCCACATGCGCCTGTTACCGACCGGAATCACGAGATGGTATTATGTGGTCTGGATAGTTTGAACTTGCGTTCGTCGGAGCTCAGCCGCAGCTAGCTCCGCCGTCGCCGCCGCCGGCACTGCCGTGCGGTGCTTTTCAGCCGAATACAAGTCGAGTTTGCCTTCCTCGGCTACCTCCCTCTTAAGGCACTTACATGGGCTGCCAGGCCCGTTACAGCCACGCAGGGCCGGTTACTCTTGGATTTGGCATTCTGGCCCGCCTGGTCACCAGCTTCTCGTTGTCTTCAGGTTTGGCGCCAGAAACTTCATCGGCTTCAGTAGTGGACGCCGTAGTACTGGTGACATCGCCCCACCGCAGGCCGCTAGCCCACGTGCTGCTGCTGCTCAGTGAGCTCCCCGGCCGCGTGCTGCTGCTGCTGCTCGCCACCGCCCAGGCCGCGAGCTCCCCAGCCGCGTGCTGCTGCTGCACGCCAGCGATGGAAGATGGCAAGCGGAGGAAGAAGAAGATGACAAGTGGACCCGTGCGTTAGTGCTAAGGAGAGGGGCTTCAATGAAGTATACGTATTCGTATACACCTACAACCAGGCCCAAGTTGTCTCCATACATATTCTGTGGCATTCTTATGGGAAACGAAGAATTATAATGATATGCTTGAAAATAAACAAATAGTAACGGTGTTTCTCCAAAGTTCAGAAATTGTAATGGTATAAATAAAAAAACCTAAAAAAAAAGGTACACACTCATCCCTCGCTGATGTCGTCTCCTTGCACTCAACCCAACAACAACATATATAAACAGCAACGGTTGAATTGCTAACACAACGGCAAGAGTCTGTAGCACATGAAAAAAAGGTTAAAATGATTGGAAAGCTAGGAGATCAAGGAAGAGTGCTACTTGAATGCAACTGAGCAAGCAAAACTGCAAGAGACAACTTTCTAATAAGCACCGGGTCGATGAGCTAGCCCAGCGCTATAACACTACCAAAGTTCTGGTTGTGTCAAAATGCACTAATATTACAATATACACTGTCTTCATTAGTTCTCTAATTTTATAAGTTAAAACTGCACCTTACATTGTCCCAATGCAATGATGAGAATAGTAATGATCACCTAAGCCAAAAAATCACACGGATAACTGTAGTTGTGAATTTATTGGAATTTCTAGCATACATTCATATGTTACAGCTGAATCTAGTACATGGTACACTTGAAACAGTCTTAGTTTTACATTCAGGTCCAAAATGTATTTGACCTATTTCCTAAGGTCACATCCATTTGCCCGGCGTTACCGAATTATGATCTTCCAAATGCAAATTGGGGCACTACAGAAAGTAAAATTGAACATCTAAGCAATTGTGAGAAGGGATGCGGGTTTCCCTTATCTCCCATATTTAGATATCCATCTGTTAGAGGACTCCTGCAGAGTGCAAAGATGCAGCAACAGCAGCAACAATAACAACAACAAAGGGCCTGTTCGTTTGTCTGAATTCTGGAGGAATTTAGATGGTTTGGAGGAATGCTGAAGAAATTTGTGAGAGAAAAACACTATTCCGGATGAAAAAATAAGCGGATCAAGCCGGGTTTAAGGGCACGCGAACGGGGCCAAAGCCTTTAAGTCCAAAACAAGTTGGGGGTATGCTAGAGTTGAAACCCAGCAGAAGCCATCAAGGTTCAGGCACATAAATAGTTGTTTTCCAAGCACTCCTATTTAAGGCTAAGTCTTTAGGTATATTCTATCTTTTCAAGTCTCCTTTTATTGCCTCTACCCAAGTCAACTTCGGTCTTCATCTGCCTCTCTTCACGTTACTATCATGGCTTAGGATTCCACTACGCACCGGTGTCTCTGGAGGTCTCCGTTGGACATGTCCAAACCATCTCAACCGGTGTTGGACAAGCTTTTCTTCAATTGGTGCTACCCCTAATCTATCACGTATATCATCGTTCCGAACTCGATCCCTTCTTGTATGACCGCAAATCCAACGCAACATACGCATTTCCGCGACACTTATCAGTTGAACATGTCGTTTTTTCGTAGACCAACATTCTGCACTATACAATATAGCAAGTCTAATCGCCGTTCTATAAAACTTATCTTTTATATTAAAACTTTTATGCAGTAGAAGAATGACATAACGGGGGAGGAAATAAGTGAGGAAACACATACGTCAGGCACAACCAAACATCGGTGGGTTAATATGTGCAGGCATGTCATCAGGTCCGGTAATCATAACAGGACCCTCATGTTCTTTGGAGTGCGAACATGATTCATTAGGACTGGTGCTGCATTCAGAACTCTCATAGTCCCATCAACATGTTATATTTGCTGAAGCTTCCAATCACAGATTAAAGGGATCTAGAAGATAAAAGGAGACCATCAAACTGTCAATAACACCGCATATCCGAACTGAATAACAATAATGTAATTACTGATATCTGAATGTATTAGTGAAGTCAACAATGCTCCCCTTTTCTATAGCGTCTATTTTCAGCCTGTTCGTTTGGCTGTGGCTTGTCATAGTCGTAAACGATCGTAAATTTCCAGCCGGAACAGTATTTTTCTCTCACACAAACCAGCCAGCAGTACTTCTTCACGAACCAGCAACGAAACGAACCAGCCAACCGAACAGGTTGTTTGCCTTCAAAACTACTTCCTTAGGTTGATATTCAGAACCAGGAAGCAGGAACTGATCCATGATTTAATTCATCTATGAAATGATTAATACTCTCCATTGACTAAAATTCAGAAAACAAATGATGTACACATGGATATTTGAGAGAAGTCCTATTGGTTATAAGATAATCATTAGTCACTTTTAATGACAAATCAAACATTATTAATCTACTAAATTATTGCACATCAAAGATCTACATTTAGAATAGTGTAACTTGAAAAGAGAAGATTCAGAAGTGCATGGGTGAAAATATTACCCCAAGCGCTGAAATTTAACATACAGTCAGAAAGAAAGAACTACATATGAATAACAGAATTGCTTATACTTTGGATAATCAAAGCTCAAGTCCACCAATATTTAAGCCTTGATATTAGTGCTAGAGCACCTGTGGTCAAATTATCCATGGAACAACGTAGTATTAATCAGTTTTGAAAGGTTTGTTTCTTCTTCACTAAGAAGTTGGAACCTGGCTTTGGGAAATAAAAAAGAAAACATATTTACGCTTGAGTTATGTCTAAGTTGCCAATAAATTATAAAAGACACATCACCTAGCATGCTCTTACCACCGAATATTCAATGAAATAACAAGATTTATCTAATAACACCATAGTTGATTTACTACTTAAGTGTTTAAATGAGGAAATATTTTGAGGATTTTAGCTCATAAATATGTATCCAAACAAGTCTTAAGATGATCATGTAGAAAACCTAATACATGTAATCATATGAAATCTTTAGTTTTCCCCGTCAAGCACTGTTCCTTCACTGTTCCACCTACAGTACGTCCATCGCAGCCTCTCCGCTGCGTCTCCGGCGCTAAAAAGATAAAAAAAGATCGTCGTCGCCTTGCTGCCTCCGCCTGCTACCCTGCGTACTCGCCTCTCTCTTCCTCTCCCACTCTGATGCTGCGCTGCCTCCTCCTACGCCCCCGCTTCGTAACCTCCATTTTCCTCTCCCCGGCCGGCGAAGCTTCCTCTCCACCGGTGGCAACGCGCGTGGATGCGGCCACCTGGCTGCGCTCCTCTTCCTCCCCCGGTGCCTACGGGGGTAGATGCGGCGGTGAAAGGTCCTAATGGCTAGAGGGGGGTGAATAGCCTATTAAGAATTTCTACAACAACACTTAACAAACCGGTTAGACAAATATGAAGCGATTCGAATGTTACGCTAACCTACTAAAAATGCAAACCACCTACCATAATTCTAATGATTATGATTTCAAAGCACACAAAGATTATGTCACTACACTAAGTTAGTGTGCTCTCAAAGACTAACTAAAGAACCACACTAACCACTAGACCCGATACAAGCTTGCTCTCAAAACTAATTACACTAAAGAGCAAAGCAACACTAGGAATATAAATACAAGAGAGGGGATATGATGATTATACCGCCGTGTCGAGGAATTGAGCCAATCACAATATAATGGAGCCAATC